AGAAGCTCTTGAGGTGCCTCATCTGCCAGATGCCGGTGAGGATGAGGATGATGGTCTGGGCGATGGACCACCAGAGCACCCTCTGGTTGGTGCTCTCGCTCGTCATGCGGAACCGCTCCTCCCGGTACTGCCCCAAAAATGGGGAAAGGGGGTCAGAGAGGGGGGGAAACTGGGTGATCCCCCCAAACCGACCCTGCAGGACCCGCTGCTCACCCTCTGGTAGTTCTGCTCCTTCTGGATCTGCTCCACCTGGTCCAGGAGCTGCCGTGCCCGGAGCTGCAGCTCCGTCAGCTTGTCCTTGGCCGCGATCTCGGGGTAGTTGTTGGTGTGTTCACCCACCTGGATGTCCAGGTGTACCCGCTGCAGGCACAGAAGGGGTCAGGGGAGGCTCAGGGGGTGGCACAGGGTGCCAGAGATCCCCCCTAGGGTTGGGAACCCCTCCCCTGTGTTCCCAGTTCGCCCCAGCAGTACCAGTTTGCCCCCAGCGAACAGGGCCATGCGGGTGGAGTTGGAGTGCAGGCAGATCTGGTGCTCCCCCGGCGTGTGGGATGTGAAGGTGAAGCGACCCTCGGAGCCGTACTGGCGGGACAGCACCACCTGGGACAGGGACAGTGTCACACACAGCCCAGGGACCCACAGAGACACTGTGACACCACAGGGACAGCACCACCTGGGGACATGGGGGGCGTGTTACACCCCCAGGACTGGGAAAGGGCCACTGTCACACCCTGGGACACTGGGACAGGGCCACTGTCACCCACTCCAGGGCAACAAGACAGGGCCACTGCCCTGTCCTGGAGGTGCCCACCTTTCCGTCGGGGTCCTTGACCTCCACGTGCATGCCCAGCCCGGGAGTGGAGGGCAGGAACGACTCGGACTGTTTGTCCCACAGCTGTGTCCGGTAGTTCCCTGGGAACAGGGGGGACACGGGGTCGGGGAGGGCCCAACTCCCATCCCAGTGCCCACAGCCCGGCCCCTCCATCCCCCTTCCCAAGGGTTCCTCCTGCCCTTCCCCATCGCACCTGGGGGGTTTCTCAGTCCCTCCCATCGTCCTCCCCCCCACCCCGGTGGTCTCCAATGTTGCCCCCCCCCAGTGCCCGGGGGTCGCTCCCGTGACATCCCTGGTGATCCCTCCCAGATCCCAGTGGTCTCTCCCATCCCCAAAAAGCACCTGGTGGCCCCTCCCGGTCCCCAGTGGTCTCCTCGCCCCCTCCCGTACGGAGTGGTCCCTCCTGTCCCTCCCCCAGACCCCGGTGGTCTCACCCCCTCCACAGTACCCAACGGTCCTTCCCATTACCCCCAATCCGCAGTGGTTCTTCCCGTTACCCCCCAAGTCTCCGGTGGTCTCTCCCCCCCGCCACAATGGTCCCTGCCGTGCCCCCTCCCCTCGCACCGATGACCATGGTCTCGTCGGGGATCTCCTCGATGAAGCAGCGCTTCTCTGTCTCTCCGATGTGGAAGTAAAGCCCGTGTGCGCCGCAGCCGAGGAGCAGCAGCAGCAGTGCGGCCTCCGCCGCGCTCAGCGCCCTCAGCGCCGCCATGGCCCTGCCGCTGCCGCCCGCGGGGGCGCTCTGCGCATGAGCTGCCGCCTCACCGCGCACGCTACGCATGCGCTTCTCCCGCACTTAGCGCCCTGCGCCTGCGCCGGGGCTTCACATCCCGCATTCCGCAAGCGCATATCGCGCCCTTACCGCCCTGCCCGTGCATGGAGGCTTCACCTCGCTCTCTGCACATGCGCTACCCGCCCTGGGCCACTCAGCGCTGCCCACGCCGCTCCTGTGGGCCTCCCGCCTTCCTAACTGCGCATGCGTACGACGCCCCCTCGCGGTGGCGCAACAGGGAGGGCGCCGCTCCCTCGCTGGGGAGACTGTGGGTTCGAGACCCGCTGCGGCCAGTCGGGGGTCGCACTGACCCCCTGTCATGTCCCCGTGTCGCCCCCCTCAATGTTTCACCTCGGGTGTCACCCCCCCGAGGTGCCGAGCGCTGGGCAGGGGCGGGCCCCACCTCCCTCCCCAGCAGTGTGGCAACACCACCGCCACCCTCCTTCCTTCCTTCCTTCCTCCCTCTCGCGGTCCCGCAGCATGAGTAGGGTGGGGGGTTCCGCGGGTGAGAGCGGGGACCCCCGGCAGGGCTCGGCGGGCCGGGAGGGGAAGCGGAACCGTGGTGGTTGTTACGCCACTGGGAGCCCCCCACCCCCGCAGGACTGGCACTTCGAGGGGGTTATAAGGGCGGGGGTGCTGGGCCGGTGTTGGGGTGCCAGAGGGTGCCAGGGCGGCTCCGGAGCACCATGGCCAGCGCCCTCACCCTCTCCCTCTTCCTCCTCCTCTGCGCAGAGGCTGAAGGCTTCTCCCCCTGCCAGGCACCCACCCTGCAGACCAAGGTGTTCCAGTACCGGTAAGGAGGGCGGGGGGCACCCCTAGGGGACCCTGAGGGGTGGCAGAGGGTGGCACCGCTGTCTGTGCCCCCCCAGGCTCTGGGATGTGAACCAGAAGTCGCTGTACCTGCGGGATGACCAACTGCTGGCCGGGCACCTGCAAGGGGCCAACGCCGCCCTGGAAGGTGATGAGGGGGCACGGGGGGGACGTGGGGTGGTGAGGGACCCTGACCCTAATCCTGATGGCCCCCCGGCTGTGTGACCCCCCCAGAGAAGGTGTTCTGGGTGCCCAATCGTGCCTTCGAGCCCACCCGGCTCCCCGTCATCCTGGGCATCCGCAACGGCACCCGCTGCCTCGCCAGCCCCCCCAAAAACAGCACCACCCCGGCACTGCAGCTGCAGGTGGGACAGACACGGGGACAGGGGCATGGGGACACTGAGGGGACACCAAATGGATGGCGACACTATGGGATGGGGACACTGTGGGACAGGGATGCCAAGGGGATGCCATGGGGATGGGGAGACCACAAGGGTGGAGACATGGGGACTGCAGGGATGGGGACCCAGGGACCTCAGGGGTGGCACAGTGTGGGGTGGGGACACAAGGACTGTGGGGATGGGACATCGTGGGGATGTTGCCACCGCAGCCCCCGGTGGCACAGTGCCCGTGTCCCCTGCTGGCCGTGGGTGCCAGCCCTGCCGTGCTGCCCCTCAGGCCGTGGGTGACCCCCCTGTCCCCGCAGGCCGTGGACATCCGGGAGCTGCCCCACACCGGGGAGGCCTCGGCCGCCTTCACCTTCTTCCGCTCCTACAAGGACGGGCTGTGGCGCTTCGAGTCCGCTGCCAACCCCGGCTGGTTCCTCTGCACCTCTGCCCGGGGCCACCAGCCCCTGGCGCTGTCCCGCAGCCATGATGCCACCCACCTGCTCGACTTCTACTTCCAGCTCTGCTGAGCCCCCCTGGCACAGCCATGGGGACACTCCCAACTGGGAACAGGGACGTCCTCAGCCTGGGGACAGTGGCACCTCCCCCAGGATAGTGCCAGCCCCTTGGGGAGGGTGACATCCCCACCCAGGTTGGTGACATCCTCACCGAGGATGGTGCCAGCCCCCTGGCGAAGGTGACATTCCACTGGGGAAAGTGACATCCTCACTCCAGGGTAGGTGCCATCCCCCCCGGATGGTGCCATCCCCTTCGGAAGGGTGGCATCCTCCCCAGGAGAGTGGCATCCTCGCCTGGGCATGGTGCCAGCCCCATGGGGACGGTGACATCCTCACCCCCGGGCTGGTGCCACCACGCTCCACCACCTCCGACAGTGCCATCCCCGCGGGGACAGCGCCGTCCTCCCCCCTGCGCCGCTGAGGCAATAAAGATGCTCAGGCCAGCGCGGTGCCCGTGGCGTGGGTGGCACCGGGGACAGGGCACGGGGGGGCGGCGGTGGCTGCGTCACCCGCGGGGTGTCCCGGGTTGCGCCACCGGCCCGTGGGGACGGGAGCGACGCGTCCCCAGCCCGGGGTGACGCAGCCGGGGCTGCCCCGGGCCGGGCACCTTCGGGGCCGCCCCTTCCCGGATCCCGCCGGGGAAACGACGCTTCCCGCCCGGCACACCCGGCCTGGCACCGCGGGGAGGGGTCTCGGGGACACGGCACATGTGGGAATGGGGCACAGGGACCCCGCGGGGACGTGGGGGATGTGGGACCAGGGGACACCGGGACACGCAGGGCTGTGGGGACGGGGCACATGGGTACAGGGCACATGGGATCTTGGGGACAGGACACCATGGGGACAGGGCTTGTGGAACCATGGGGACAGGGGGGACACAAACATGGCGACAGGTATCACGGGGATGGGGCACATGGACATGTGGGACCCAAGGACAGGGGGCACAGCAGGGACAGGGCACTCAGGAAAAGGGGGATGGGACATGCGGGGCTGTGGGAATGGGGCACAGAGACACCGCGAGAACAGAGATCGTGGGGCCACAGGGACTGGGGGCACAGGACCATGGGGATGGGACACAGGTGCCTGTGGGGACAGGGCACGTGGGAGTTTGGGGACAGGGCTCACAGGCACCATGGGGACAAGGCACATGGGAAAATGCTGACAGGGCACTGGGGACGCACCAGTACCTGTGGGACAGGGCACACTGTGGGGACAGGGCTGGTGGGGGGGGACATGGCACAGGGGACATCCCTGCCACGGTGACCATGGGCAGCACAGTGGATAATGGGGACAAGGGGCCCAGGTGGCATTTCCCCATGCCAGCTTGGCACTGCCCTACAATCAGCAGGGCGGGCTCTGCCCCCCGCCCTGCCCGTCCCTATAAAGCCACCACCACCCCCAGGGGACAGAGCCCAGACAGAGACAGGACTGGACCTCGGGAGCTGCCAGAGTCACAGGTACCTGGGAACGGGGACAGGGGCAGGCCAGGTCCTGCCTGGGAACAATTCTCAGGGCTGGGGACAGGGACAGGGACAAGCCAGGTCCTGCCCCGGAAGGATTCCCAGGGCGTTCACTCTGGATGCTCCTGATGGCCGGGGCTGGCAGCAGGGGACAGAGGTGGGTGGCAGGGGTGTCCTCCACCTGTGTCCCCCGTGTCAGCCGTGTCCCCCTCTCCCTCCAGGCCCAGCCATGTCCCGTGTGTCCAGACCTGCTGTCACGTGAGTGGGGACAGAGTGGGATGGGGCTGCCCCTCCCTTTGGAGCTGGGTCGGGTCACCCTGTGTGACACCCATCTTCACCCCTCTATCTCCCCCCTCCCCGGTGCAGAGGGGCCCGGGGTCCCCGGGGAACCCCCAAGCGGTCCCACCCCCTGGGAGTCCTGACGGGGCCCGGGAATGTGGCCGAGTCTGTCGTCGACCCCGACATGGAGGCCCTGTTCGAGGACTTCCTGGGGAAAGGTAGAGGCAGTGCCTGCTGGGTGCCCCATGGGTCCCCTGTGTCCCCAGGTGTCCCTGTGTCCATCCCTGCCCCCAAATTCCCATGTACCCCATCCCCACATCCCTGTGGTGCCCACTTGTCCCCGTGCACCCATGTGCCCATGTGCCCCCTCATGCCCATGTGTCCATGTGCCTCTTTCCCACTCCCCACGTCTGTCACACTCGTGTCTCCAATCCCCATGTCCCCGTGTCCCCCATCCTCACATCCTTGTCATGTCCCCACGTCTCCATGTGCCCAAGACACCCCATGTTCCCCATGTCTCACCTGCCCATCACCCGTGGGCCCCATCCCCACGTCCCTGTGATGTGCCCACGTCCCCATGTCCCCATGCCCCCACGTGTCCGTCCCCACCGTGTCCCTCATCCCCACATCCCTGTGTCCCGTCCCTGTGTCCTCACATGTCCCCGTGTCCCCAAAAGTGACGATGGTGGCCTCGGCGGCCTCGCGCCCCCCGGCCCAGCCATACCACTACGTGCTGCGGGACACGGAGCAGAAGGGGCTGTGCCTGCAGGACGGGCAGCTGGTGGCCACCAGCCTGCAGGGTGCCAACGCCACCCAGGAAGGTGGGTGTCGTCCGTGGGGAGGGTGACCCCCCTCGAGGGCCCCCACCCAGCCCCGTGTCCCCACAGAGCCCATCAGCGTCGTGCCCAACCGGCACCTGGAGCGCCGGCGCTGCCCCCTCATCGTGGGCATCCGCGGGGGCACCCGCGCCCTGTCCTGCGGCACCAGCCCCGAACCTCGGCTGCACCTCGAGGTGAGGGGGGACCTGGGGGGCAACAAGGTTGGTCAACCCAAGGTAGATGACCCAAGGGGAGGGGCACCCAGAGGTGGGTCAACCCAAAATGGGGGCACCCTGAGGTGGTGGGGACCTGGTGGTGAAGTCACCTGGAGGTGGGGTTACCTGGAGGTGGGTCACCTGGCAATGGAGTCACCTGGAGATGAGGGTTCCTGGGATGGTGCCGCCCCGGGGTGGTGTCCCAGCTCTGTGTGTCCCTCCGGCAGGACGTGGGGCTGCTGGAGCTGTTCTCAAAGAAGGGAGACGAGGCCACACCCTTCACCTTCTACAAGACCTTCGGGGGGTCCACGCACACCTTCGAGGCCGCAGCGTTCCCAGGGTTGTTCCTCAGCACGGCCCCAGGCCCGGGGGAGGCCCTGGCCATGGCCCCCCCACACGGGGCCACCGCCTTCTACCTGCGCCGAAAGTGACCCCGGCAACCATGGTGGGGAGCACTCATGGGGGGCACCCACGGGGGGACATCCACGGGTGGGTGTGTCCTCCCTTCCAAATAAAGCGACAGTCTTGGTGTCAGCTCGGGGTGTGTGATTTGGGGAGGGGGGCCAGGATCGGGCCCCGTGGGGCAGGATCGACTCACAGGGGCAGGACTGGTCCATGGGGACCGGGGTGGATCCATGGAGGGGCGGGATGGACCCACGGAGGGGCAGAATAGGACCCTGAGGGAGCAGGATCTGCCCGTGGAGGGGCAGAGTCAGTTCATGTTGGGGGCAGACCAGCGCACAGGGGCTTGGGTTCATCCCACGGCGGGCTCAGAACCATCCCTCGGGGGTCAGGATCATCCCACGGGTTCAGGATCGGTCCATGGGGGCTCAGGATCATCCCACGGGGTTCAGGATGATCCCACAGGGGGTCAGGATCGGTCCATGGGGGCTCCATCGGGATCGGTCCCGCGGGGCAGCCCGGGGGCTCGTGGCCTCTCGGGGGGGCGTGGCCTAACAAATGGGCGTGGCAACAACGAACTCATCGAGCCCCTGGCCCCGCCTCCGAGGAGGGGGCGTGTCTACCCGACCCCCCGAGAGGGGGCGTGCCCAGCCGAGGCCCCGCCCCCGCCCGCGCGGCAGTGCCGGTAAGGGGGGGAGGGACTCCGGGGGTCCCCAAGGCCCGGGGGGTGGGAGCGAGGGGTCCCCGTGGGGGCCCCCAGAGCCCTCGGAGCCCCCCCCGGGCTCCCCACACCGCCCTGCAGGGTCCTCCAAGCCGTGAGGGTTCCCCCAAAAAATCCAGGATACCCCCACCCTTGGGGCCCCCCCGTAACCCTCGGGGCCCCCCATAACTCTTGGGGTCCCCGCATAACTCTTGGGTCCCCCTTGGACTCTGAAGGTCCCCCCTGGAGCCCCCACTTGTCTCTGGGCCCCTTCACTCCGTGGGGTCTCCCTCACCCATTTGGGGTCACCCCTACACCTTTTGGGGTCCCCTCAACCCCTGGGGACCCCACCCCCTTCCTGAGCCCCCCGAAACTTTTGGTTTGCCCTGGTCTTTGGGGTCCCACCCATCGGGGTCCCCAACACCCCCCCAGAGCACCCCAAATTCCTTTGGACTCTCCCCACCCTTTGGGGTCCCCCCCTTTGGGGCCCCACCCCAACTTTTGGGGTCCCCACCCTCAGACACCCCCCACCCCTCCCCATAACCACTTGGGATCCCCACAGACCTTTCCTCCCCCTCCTCAAGCCCCTTTAAAAAGCCTTTGCGGGACGGTTTTAGGGGGGATTTGGGGGCGCAGCCCCCCCCCCAAGCTGGGGGGGGTCTGTGGGTGCCCCCCCCCGTTTCCTGCCCCGCGGGGCGGAAGCGGTGCCGGTGACGCGGTGACACGGGGTGGGTGACGTGGGGCCGTGGGGTGACGGGGCCGGACACGGGGTGTGCAGGTGCTGGGTGAGGGTGCCGGGACCCCCCACCTGGCCGGGGGGGCCTCCTGACCACCCCCTGACCCTCCTCCCTTTCCCCGAGCCTCCTCCCCCTCTCCCTCCTCCTCCTCCTCTTCCTTCCTCCTTCCTCCTCTAAGCCCTCCCTCCTCCTCCTCCTCCACTTCCTCCTTCCCTCTCTCCTGCCTTCTCCCTTCATCCCTCCCCCTCCTTCCCTCCTTCTTCCTCCATCCTTCCTTCCCTCTTTTCCTTCATCCCTTCCGCCCACTCTTCCCTCTCTCCCTCACTCCCTGCCTCCCTCCCTCCCTTCCTCCCCTCTTCCCTTCCTTCCTCTTTTCTCCTTCTCCTTTCCCCCCTTCCTCCTTCCTCCTTCATCTCTCCCTCCCCTCAACTTCCCTCCCTCTCTTCCCCCTCCTTCCTCCCTTCCTCCTCTATCCTTCCCTCCTCCCTCCTCTTCCTTCCCTCTTTCCTCCCTCCTTCCTCCCTCCCTCCCTTCTTCTCTCCTCTTTCCTCCTTCATCCCTCTCTCCCATCTTTCTTCCCCCTTCCTTCCAACCCTTCCTTCCTCATTCCTCTCTTCTCCCTCCCTCTCTCATCCCTCTCTCGCTCTCTCCCTTCTCCCTCCCTTCCTCCTCAATCCCTCCTTCCCTCCTTTCCTCCATCGTCCTGCCATCCTTCATCCCTTCCCCCTCCCTCCCTCCTCTCCTTTCTTCATCCCTCTCTCCCTCCTCTCTCCTCTCCCCTTCCTCCTCCTTCCCTTCCCACCCCACCCCACCCCTCCCTACGTTGTAGACCCCCCCACCCACATCCCCTCTCCTCCCTCTGCCCCCAGGGCCCCCCCTGCCATGGGCACAGACCCTTCGGACCCTCAGGACCCTCAGGACCCTCGGGGCAGCGCAGCCCCCCCCAGCCTGGCTGGG